TTTATCACCGACTTAGTACTAATACCAAAATCAAGTCTCTGTGTACTGCTTTGAGAAAAGACCTGAAATTAAGTTTGGTAGTTCAGAGGAAAAGGAGGCCGCCATCAGCACCAAAAACAACCATTTGTTGAGCTTCCTTTATAGCCTTTATGACAAAGGATTGGTGGGAAGTATCTCCTCCACTTTCTTTGTCACACCTGCCACCTTATTTATTTGAGATTATAATTTCAAATTTTTCTATTGCTACTCATCACAAACTGTTTTGTTTTCTTTCATACACATTTAAGACCTGATATGGACCATAATGTACTGACCTTAGAAACAAAATTGTGCTGATGAAACAGAGGACACGCTACTAGATTGGCCAACACGCTACAACATCATCAATGGAATAGCTCGTGGACTTCTTTATCTTCATCAAGATTCACGACTAAGAGTAATTCATAGGGACCTGAAAGCCAGCAATATTCTACTGGATTATGAATTGAACCCAAAGATTTCAGACTTTGGCCTGGCTAGAAGTTTTGGAGGAAATGAAATTGAAGCCAATACCATTAAAGTGGCTGGAACATAGTAAGTGATGTGATTTTACCTTCATTTTCTGCAAATGCAACCTTAACATTCGTTGAATACATGCAGTGGCTACATTTCCCCAGAGTATGCAATTGAAGGGCTCTACTCGGTAAAATCGGATGTCTTCAGCTTTGGTGTATTGGTGCTAGAGATAGTGAGTGGATATAAGAACAGGGGGTTCAGTCATCCAGAACACAGTCTTAACCTTCTAGGGCATGTAAGTGCAAAAACTATATTACTTGGACTCATCATTTCTCTATACTCTGAAACCTGTGTCAGGTTTCCATAGGCTTGATCATGTCTACTGATAGTACGCCTTAAATTGATAAAATAAATGATGAAGTATTGAAAAGAAACAATTCTGAGAAGGTTAAGCATGTCGCGCACACATCTATTTTTGGATTTGGATCTCAGAGTCTAGAGAACATTGTGTCAGTGGAAACATTTCTTACTTCTAGATACCAAATCTGCTATTGGTAACATGGTTTTGTTTATTAGGCTTGGAGACTATTCCGAGAAGGGAGGCCTATGGAACTGGTTAGGCAATCAATAATTGAAGCATGCAATCTATCTCAAGTGCTACGTTCAATTCACGTGGCTCTACTCTGTGTTCAAGATAATCGAGAAGATAGGCCAGACATGTCATATGTGGTTTTGATGTTGAGTAATGACAATATATTACCTCAGCCTAAACATCCAGGTTTTTTTATTGAAAGGGATCCAGCTGAAGCAAGTTCAACAGGCGAGAGCACAGCACATTCAGCTAACAAATGCTCGATTACATTATTACAGGCAAGGTAGATCCCATTTTGTGTTCCTATCTTTTGTTTCGTCTTGATGGGTTTGATTTTGTATCTTAGAAGCTGTAGTTCCAATGTTGTGTGGTGAAGGCACATTGCTCAGCCAATGCAACCAGAATCTTTTTTTCCCTGAACGGGAATTTATTTTTGTACTAATATTATTTGTTTCAACCTTGTGTTAAAAGAAGTCATAATTTTTCAACTATTATTAAGCAAAAGGCCATTAAGTGCTTAATGATGCAACTACCCAAAGTAACACCGTACTATTGTTAAGAAAAGAGTACAAGCTTAACACTAATTGATCGGGCATATTGTCAAACCCATATATATGAGCTCAGTACTTGATTAAGTCTAAAAATAATGAGTTTGCAAGTATATGAGACCCATAAATAACCTAGCTCAATGTTTTGCTTAGCCTAAAAATGATAAATCTATCGGTTCATTAAATCTATAAATACCTGGATTTAGTGCTTGGCTGAGACAACATCTCTCTTGTCATCCTTTTGAAAGATAATTTCAAACAAAATAAATAAATAAATCCTAATCCATTAATAGCTCCTCATATATTATGGTATTAAACACAAAGATTTTGAAAAGCCTATGCTAGCATTAATTGAGACCTTTTTTATTTTCTCCATAAAATTTTATGCATCCCTCATGTTACTATTAGGATCCTCAAGCCTAAATGATTTTTTTTTTTTAGTGGGACATGATTTATGTCAAAGAATAAAACGACAATTAACTTTTAATGTAGTATTTTAGTAGTCTTTTTGCAATATGTGATGATATGAAAAGTTTTTCATTCGATAGTAAGGATGAAGAGATTCATTTCTTTATAACCCAACTCGTTCTTACTTTTATCTTTTTTTTTTTTTTTTTTTTTTTTTTTTTTTTTTTTTTTTTTTTTTTTTACTTAGTGATTTTTTATAGGAAAACTACTCTTATAGAGAAGATCCCTTGTCACCTCTCCTTTAATCCAAGAAAAGTCCTCAAATACATTCCCAAGACTTTTTTCCACACACATACACATATATATGAATCAAAATGAATGAATCATAGAAACATAAAATTTATCTTTAAAAAGAAAAGCACTTTAGTCCCTAATGAGGAGTTTAGGTTTCAAACAAAACCTAAAAAAATGATAGGGGACATAGGTCCCCAGACTAGGCCCTTTAGACGAGAGGGGATGTCATATTGGTGCTCTCATTTGATAGGGAGGATAAAAGATCTTCTCGTAGGAGTCCATATTCTTCCCCTACCAGAAAGGATTGATTATGAGAGAAGGTCTTGTATAAGTCCTTCTTATATGCCCGACAAAAATGTTTATGAGAGAGATTGCCCTAGAATCTTAGGGATGACATCCCTAGTAGTGTATGTGCTATGGATATGAAATTCATGGCTCGTTATCAACCTAATGAGTACATGGTTCAAATGCCCTCATTGTTAAGTGTATTAGCAAACAGACCTTAGGCTCCACCTAGGGTTATTTGAAATCACCACCCCTATACACATGTATTCAATAAGATACCTTTTCCTTCTTCAAAGGTTTACAAGAGAAGTGTTTAGCTATAATTTGGTTGGTTTTAACTAGCTGCATCCTAACAAGTAAACAATCCTGTCCTTTTTTGAAAAATTCTACATAATAATTGAAGAGTTGCTATCAACTAATCATCGATACCAATGGTGGCAATGACATGTGATGGTTCCTTACCTTTACTAATAAAAAATAAATGACATTATCAAAAACATATTGACCAGAAAGCCAACATATATCAAGAAATGAAGGGGGAGATGGTTGGTCATAAGATACATTAAGATAATAGATAATATAAGAGGACTACAACCAATATAGGGTTGTTTCGATTATTAGAAGGTTCCCTTCACAAAGTAAACAACAAGCCTCATCTAAGCTCAAATAAGGGGAAGAACTGTGTCGTATTAGATTCGACTTTAACTGATTATAAAGTTAATAAAATAACAAACTATGTTATTAGGCTATTTTACAAAGTATGTTGCTATATTGCTTTTCCTTTTTATTTTTATCACTTTATTATAAACAAAAATTGGACCCTTATTTGTCCTTGACTAATAGCTGAAGGAGAAAGAGAAGCTTTAGGATAACCTTTTGACAAAGGGTTTGTCTGAGGGTCTTTATCTCATGAAGCTAGTAAAAGCAAGGGGGAAGAGGTGATGGGATACTTCCCTTTTACTGTTAAGGATCTCCTTGCTCTTGAGGTCTCTACCTCTATGGAGATAGTGGTAAGGGTAATAACCTTTATAAAAAGTTGGGGGTTATGATCTTCCCTTATCTAGGGAAGTAATAAATCTAACCCTTTTATGGTGATTGTGGTGCTACCACCTATTTTAAGAGGAGAAGAGTCTCTACCCTAATTGTTGCTCATGCTCCAATCCCATCGATAGAGGCTTCTACAATTGAATCTCCTCTACCTCAACTTCCTACCTTATAAGTACATCTGGAACTTCTACCAAGGCGAGCATCGGGTAGTTTAATGATGTTTTCTTTGATTTAGCTTTTGATCATAATCCTTTTGATTTTCCACTCCTAACATATAAGGAGAGGCAATTCACGAAAGCTATGGTAAGAGAAAAAAAAAAGGCTTGAGAGAGGTTAACCTTGAGGTGAATAGATTGTTGGAAAGAGTCTTTACCATCTTGTTAGACATCTTTAAGATGTCTAATGAAAACTTCCACTACTATTTGGCTTTAATTGGAGAGATAACTTTTACTATAAGGAATTATCTTGTTTCCTTTCCTTTTTGGTTTGGTTTGATGATTACCATTTTTAACATTTATTCTTGGTAGACCTTTATGATGTACACCTACTCTTAAAGGTGTTGGATGACCAAAAGATATTATATGAGGGAGGTCATGTATGTGAATAAAGCAAATAAAGTTGTCTTTGAACGGTAGCATGGGGAAAAGTTAATATGGAGGCCAAAATGCAAAGCATTAAGATGGCCCATTCCATATTTAAAGACCAAGCACAAGGCCTTACCTTTGAGTCGGGATCTAGGGAAAAACACTCAAGGCCTCTTATAACCAGGTGGTTCCCCTAAGACGGGAGCTTCTTGAAACCCAGCGTTCTGACACGACTAAAAGATTGATGTCTTCTCCCAAGTGCAGGAGTGTCGAAATAATAAATAACCCGGCAAGACCGGGGT